AACCCTAACCCTAACCCTAACCCTAACCCCGTGGCGCTTTGTGGGGCAACCCTAACACAACACAGCCTTGCGAGCAATGCTGGCCTTGCCCTTTACAGCTTCCGCCATCTCGATCCTTGGTGTGCTAGCGATTCAGCACAGTTGCCTTCCGACCAAGCTTCTACGACATGGCATCTCCACGATCGGCTTGCCATGCTTCTTTGCTGACCCGTGAGGGACCACCCTCTTATCAGCCACTCACGACCGAGCCAGCCAAGCCGTACATCCAGGAAGCGTATGGAAGGAATGCCAAGTCCCTGCTCGAAGGCATCGAGCACAACAAGACCGCAACGCGCGTCTTTTGGTTCATGGCTGGCGTGTGGTCCGCCGTCATCATCTCTTGCCTCGTCATTCTCTTTGTTCTTCGGGCTTGAGCAATCACGCAAAACTCCATTTGCGAATCTTGCCTGTACAAGCGCTGCGGCTAGTGAGCAGCCGACGCTTCTTGCGCCAGCGCACGCTGACACGCCGCAATTTCATCTCACGCCTCGTGTTCCAGCGGTCATTGGTCATTGGTGCATGATATCAAGATTGGTAGCGTCGAGTCGATAGGGTTGGGGACGTGTTGCTGAGCGATCGTTATTGCGCTCTCGTCCGGACCGTCCGGACCGAGCAGGCCCTCGCCAACGCCGTCGGATCTCTGTCAGGCCCAGAAGCGTACGAGGAGCTGGTCGAGGTCAAGCGAGCTTTGCAAGCTGGGCACTTTGTCGGGATCGGGCGCAGATCGAGCACTGTCTGGGAGCGGGCTTGGAAGATGTTTGTGCAACCTCGGCCATGTGGGGCTGGGGCAGCTTTGGGAAGCAGGAGCCACGCCGGCCGCAGTCAACATGTAAAGCCCGACCGAGGATGTTGCGACGTAGGCCATGCCGATGGTGAGGAGCAGAACGGCGATCTTCCAATCGCAGAGAGTTCGAGTGCCGTATACTCCAACACGATGGCCAGGGCTGCGCTCCGTCTTTTGGCCTGGCTCAGACGCATTCGCTGCCCGCCGCCGCCGGACACCCGCCTGGGCTGGCTAAGGAGCGCAAGCGCGTCAAAACAGGGAAACCCCCGGTCAGCGTCTCTTGAAAGCTTTGCCGTCCTCATCACGGTACGTGCGCAGCCTGCGCACCACCGCCTATGGCTAGAGCTCAAGAGCTTCTCCATGATCTCGAGGTCTGCGCGCAGTGCTTTAGCGCTTTTCCTATACGTTCCATAATTTCGCGTGGTACGGCAGAGCGCTATTTTGAGCGTGAAAACATCCGCGATTATGTTCCAGATCTATTGCGGATTTCGTTTGAGTACCTCTCGCCTTGGCACAAAGCGAGAACCTCGGAGATTTACGGTGGCACCCCAGCTATCAATCTATCAATAGGCTTCAGCGAATTGGATGGCTCCAGGATCGGGCGCCGAGCAGCGCACCAGTCTTACTGAGGCTTCGCGCTGGCTACTGACGCCCAACTGCCTTCCTTATGCATCTCGACGGGAGGGTTCCGCTCATGTCGTCGAAGAGCTCAGAAAAAGGAATATATACGCCGAGAGTTCAGTGCTATGCAAACGCCCAAAGAGACGTGAATAAGCCTACCCGCCTGGAACGAGCATATCCTTGAGAACGACTTCAGGATGGCAAGGTTCATTGCTCTCCGGCCGATGACCTTGTTTGGTCTATCTGCTTTGATGATCTTCTACGCACATCTCAACTTTTACGAAGACAAGCAGCGGGCTTTCAACACCTTGTACAGGTTGTTGGATATTTCGTACAACTCCAATGGGTCGGAGCCGTTTCTAACAATCTTTCGCGACAAGGTATGTCGGTCTACTTGCTCTGGATCCAGAGCCAACCATGGGAGAC